CCCTTGTGCTTGCCAGGGAAGCGCTTATTCCACTGAGCCATCTCCCCGGCCCTAAGAGAAAGTAACTGTATATCCATCCTATTTTGTATATGCAGATACAAAATGGTCATTCATTTATGTCTTCTTGTTTTGTTTAGTTTTGTCAGAGATGGGTATTCCTTTGCCATTTGAATATTGTAGTTTTGTGAATTCAGTAAAATAATACAATATTATCTCCTTTGTCATAGTACTGTAATTTTTCAATATACAGATTTTTTACCTTATTAGATTGATTCATAAGTATGCCATTCTTTTGGATGCTATTGTGAGAAAGGTACTATTTCCCTAAGTTCTTTTTCAGGAATTTGTTGTTTGTATACAGGAATGCTATTAATTTTGAGTGTTGACATTGTATTTAGGTACTCTACTGAATTTTGTTATTAAGTTTAGAAGTCTTTTGTTAGAGTTTTGGGGTCTTCTATGTAGTGTATCATGTCATCTACAGATAATGATAATTTAACTTCTTCTTTCTCTATCCCTTTTTCCCCCATAATTTTATTGAGAAACAAATAGCAATGAGACAGTTTCAAAGCAAATTGGTAGGACAGTTTCGATAATTAACATATTGCATACATTCTTCCTGGTGGTTAATTGTTCTACAAGATGTGGATATGATATCCTATTTACAAACACTGTTAGAACAAATCACTTTATTCATTAAGAGAATGTACCTATATATCTATCCTAACCATTTTGAATACACAGATACAAAATAGACATTCATCTGTATCCCTTTTTTTGTTTAGTTCTGTTATTTGAATATTATAAGTGTGTTAACTCAACAAAATATTCTAAAAGAGTCCAGTAGTCCATAATAGTATTGGGTCTTTTGTTTGACTGGCAATGTCAGAAATTATTGACCTGAGTCCCCTAAAGCTCAACATAACACCATGGCTTTACTTCTTATACTTTATTTTTATAGTTTTGTACTGAATGGTTAAGGCCAAGATAAAGCAGGACCTATGCAATAAGAGTTGTAGCTTTTGGGTCTGATAAGTTCAGTGAAATCCCTTCAGGATTTATCCTGAGATCCTGTACCTCAGATTGTAGAACCTTTGTCAGTGTCAGCCATGTGGATGAGTGACAGACATTGCTTGGCAAATATGCTCTCTGTGAAAGCCTGAAAGAATGTTCTCTCCATGTGACTCTCCTTAGGCACACTCTACATCATTGATCACTTTTCTCTTTGGCCTCATAATTTCCTTGATCAAAAAATTTGGGACACTACCGAGTTATGTGATATTACAGTACAAGTTCTCATATGTCCTGAGTCTTAATTGACCTTGGAAGGCTAGTGCCAAAATGTTGGCTTTCCTTGCAGCCCTCCTTTTTCTCTAATTTTGGTCTGCAAACTTAGGTTGTTAACCATCCAGAAGACAAGTTTATTGTTATTACCATACAACTTAGGCTGTTAAACTTAACCTCACTATCTGTCTGAATATCAAATATCTTAGGCATAATATGGAACAGGTATTTTTCATCAAGTATTGATATGTTGAACTTTAAGTCCATACAGAATATGATGAAATAACATTTATAAATTAAAATATATTTTAAAAATAGACAGAAAGAATTATATACTTCTTATGTTTACACATAAGTCCAAAAATCTAACCATATGCAACCTTGAAGCAGAACAGTCCCACAACATTCCTTTTCCTGCCTCCTGCCTTCATTCACCATCCCCTTCTTTTTGAACAATCATCTACCCGACAGACATACAGCAGCAACTGACATATCATGACAAGTAGCCCATATTCAGAAGACCAGAATGACAGGTACTACAAGAATGAACCTACTGTTTTTTCTTTTCTATCCATATTCCTTTTATTTCTCTCTTGTTCAATTGCTGTATCTACTGTTTCCAGATCTGTTTTGACTAGGAGTAGTGACAGTGGATATCCTTATTTTGTTCTTGATATTAAAGTGAAAGCTTTCAGTTTTTGTCCATTTAGTATGCTATTGGGTGCTGATTTATCATAGATGGCTTGTATCAGATTGAGGTAAAGACCATCTATTCCAATTTACTGTAGTTTTTTTTTTTATCATGAATAAGTATTGGGTTTTGTCAAAGTCTTTTTCTGAATTTACAGAGATGATCATGTGGTCTTTGTCTTTGACTCTGTTGGTATGATGTATTAAGTTTATTGATTCATTTGTTCTGAACCATCCATGTATCCCTGAGATGAATCCTACTTGGTCAGATTGCATGATTTTCTTCATTCTGTTCATTAGTATCTTAATGAAGATTTTTGCATACAGGTTCATTAGGGAGAGTGCCCTTTTGTTTCAGTATCAGGGTAATTCTTGCTTCCATGAATAAATTTGGAAGAACTGCTTCCCTTTCAATTTCATTAAAGAGTTTGAGAAGTACTGGCTTTAAATCTACTCTACATTTCTTGTATAATTCAGCCATAAATCTGTCAGGACTTGGGCTTTTCTTTGTTGGTGAGTTTTTAATTGCATTTTCAATTTCATTAGCTTCTTTTGAGTTATCTAGAATTTTTAATATCTCTTGATTCAGCTTAGGTAATTTGCATATTTTAGGAACCTACCTACTTCTTCTGTGTTTTCCATCCTGTGCAAGTAAAGATTTTAAAGTAGGTATTGATAATCATCTGAATTTCTGTAGAATCTAGTGATTTTTTATTGTTTTCATTTCTTATTGCATGAACTTGAATTTTCTCTTTCCTTTTTTAAATGTATTTAGTACAGGATCTATGGGATCTCATAGACCCTGCACAGATTGGACTCATAGTGATCCTCCTGTTTTCAGCCTTCCAAGCGCTGGGAATACAGGTGCGTACCACCATATCCAGTCTCAAGCATTGTCTCAGGGCACCCCGTGGGCGGGGCTGGCATGGCACACCAGGGATTGAACTCCAGCCACTGCACTCTGCCTATGCAGGTGCTTTAGTCCACCAAGCTATCTGGCCAGCCCTAATTTGTTCTTTAATATCATCTGTGATCCATTGGTTGTTCAGGAGGGTGTTACCTAATTTCCATGTGTTTATGCAGTTTCTTTTCACTTTAATTTTCAATTTCATTGCATTGTGGTCTGATAATATGCGTGGGATATTTTCAATTCATTTGCATATTTTAGGCTTTTTAAAATTTTTAAATGTATTTAGTACAGGGTCTATAGGGTCCCACACACAGATCGGACTTGTACTGATCCTTCCTGGTTTTCAGCCTCCCAAGCACTGGGATTACAGATGTGTGCCACCATGCCCTTGTTTCAATCCCTGTCTTACTGCACCCTGAGGGTGGGGCCAGCGTGGCAGGCTGGTGATTGACACCTGGCTCCTTCATCTGCCTAAGCTGGTGCTTTGATCCACTGAGCTATCTGGCCGGTCCTTAAGTTTTATTGGCTGGTATATGGTCTATTTTAGAGAATGTCCCACATAAGTTAAGAAGAATGCATACTCTGATGTTGTTTGGTGGAACACTATGTAAACATCTACTAAATCCATTTGTTGACAGGTTTGGTTCAGTTCTGTTATTTCTTTGTTGATTTATTTTCTAGTTGATCAATTTCTTTGTGACAGTGGGTTTGAAGGTTCCCCATTATAATTTTGTTATTCCTTATTTGATTTTTAAAATATGTTAATATTTGTCTTAGTTACATGTGCCCATATTTGGTGCATATATATTTATGATTGTTGTCTCTTCCTCTTGAAGTTTTCCCCTAACAAGTATGTAGTGACATTCTTTGTTTTATTTGATCTTTCTTGGTTTGAAGTTCACATTGTCTATGAACAGAATAGCTACTCTTACTTTTTTTTCCCCCTGGGTTCTTGTTGCATTAAGTATTGTTTCCTGTCCTTTGATTTTTAAGTCAGTAAGTTTCTTTTTGTGTTTCTTGTATACTGCATATTGTTGAATCTTGTTTCTTGATCCATTCTGCCAATGTTTTCATTAGTGAATTGAGGCAATTTACATTGATGATTAGAACTGATATGTACTGGCTTATCTTTGTCATTTTATTTTCCCGTTGTTGGTTTCTTAGTTTCACTTTCTGTTTAATAGTTTTCCCTGCCTGGTGATTTATTATGATGTGGTTCTTGGAATTGTGGTCATTTTTATGACTGCCTAGACTGTCTTTTAGTATCCTTTGTAGGGTTTGTTTGGTGGTCATGGATTTGTTCAGTTTTTTGTCATGGAAAAATCTTACTACTTTTAATTTTGAAAGATGGTTTTTGCAGGTACATCAATCCGGGTTGGAAGTTGTTTTCTTTTAGAACTTGAACTATTTTACTCCATGTTCTTAGGGTTTGTGTTGAAAAGTCAGCCATGATTCTGGTGGGATTTCCACTATAGGTGATCTATTTCTTTTCTCTTACAGCTTTTAATATTGTGTTTTTGCGATGAATACCTTGGATGTTGATTATTATATGTCTGAATGTAGATTTATTTTGGTAATCTCAATCTCTATATGAGATTACACTTTGTTTTGTGTCTTGTCATTTTGTATTTCAAACAATTTTTTATTTTGTTTTCTCTGTTGTTCCTTGTGTGAGGTTTTATAGTAGGTAGCTGTATCACTAATATCAAGGCCTATCTAACAAAAGACCTTTCTTCAGGGATTCCTTTTGTATGTAGGAGGTTCTTGGTTTGTGTCTGTCAGAAAATCCTACCTTTCCAATTAGAATGGGATGTTGGCTTCTGTTTGGCTCCATCCCCAGTCTTTTGGTGCAAGGCTGTGGTGAAGTTATTTCCCACGGAACTTCCCTGTATTATGACAAAAGTGAGAAAAGCTGATTAACACAGATATGACATCCTAGCTAAAGTAGTACAGTTATTAATAGCAATAGCATGAAGCACTGTTTAGATACTGACAAACTGTTGTAACTATTGATTTTGTATTTTAGACCACAGGAACAAAGTCTTATGTAATAGAACCAATCATAAATTAGGAGCTTCATGTAAAATATTTTCCCTTGGTGGTGTGGTGGGGAAATTTACCATGTGGTAGGAAAATTATGGGAGGATATTGTATAAAACAGTCATGGCTCCATTCATACTTTTTTCTTATTCTTTCAATTGGGATATATAATGTTCAGAGCTCTTGTATTTGGAAGCTGGAAGAAGGGCCTGAACTTTGACATAGTGTCTTGGTTTCACTGTTTTGTTTTTTTTGTTTTTGTTTTTCAAACTAAAGCTATATGAAGCTTGTGGATTAAACAATAAATTTCTAAATTAAAAAAAAAAGGAAATAGAAGCAAGGCTGGTAGACAAAGGATGAGGACACAAGAGTTGGACAACTACAGAAAAGGGCACAAAAGAAAGAATGAAGGAGTAATTGAATGCTTAATGGAACTTGGTCTCTTGGCTTGAGAGGTGGGATTAATTTTCTGTGACTGGAGTTCTCCCCAGTTGTTTAGAAAAGACAGAAAAAAGAAAAAAATGAGCAAGCAAGAAAAAAAAAACAGGACAAGGAAAAAGAAAGATAAAAAAATAAAACAAGATAAAATAAACATTTAAAAGAGGGAGGCAGCCCTACCCACCTGCTTGAGTTCTTTTTTATTAACTTTATTGAAAATCAATAATTACATAGCATATTAAAACTTGTACACAAATATTGAAATGTGAAAGATATAAGATGTAGATACTGAATTTTAGAGAAATATTTCTGAAATGAATATATAGCATGAGATTAATAATAGATTGCACATTATAAATAATTTACAAACTTAAATGAATATAACAATAAAAATTGTTCAAAATAAAAAGAAGAAAGGATTTACATATCAGTTATATAATAGTTCACTCTGTGCCAAAATTGAGAAACTTATATTCGTATAATTAGACTTCTCAAAGTAGAAAGGGGCATGCAATATATATTTTTTAAATTTTTATTTATTTGTGTGTGTGTGTGGCCAGCTCAGTCCACCAGGGGGCGGGGCTGGCTGGCATGTGGTGCTGGGGGATTGAACCACGGTCCCTGTGCTTTGCTGAACTTGTTCTAAGTAGGTGCATTAGACCACTGAGCCATCTCACCAGCCCCGTGCAATAAATATTTAAAGATTTAAAATTTATGAATTTAGTTGAACTTAGAACACAAAATCTTCAAGAAAAATGAACCTTTTGCACAAGAAATTTGAATAAAATCATACCAAGATACAAAAAATGAAATTGTCCAAAACTTATTGTAAAGACAAAAATCATTAAAGCATATATAAAAAAATGATAGCTATGGAAGAACAAAATTAAATAGTATTTTATTCCACATTAGAAAGAAAAAATAAAAGGCCAAGTATGTAACAAACTGGACTAACTAATTTAAAGGACTGAAAAATAAAGATCTGTCCTCTTTGAATTTTATACTTAGCAAACACCTTTGAAGACTAAGCAAACACCTTTGAAGACTAAGAGTAAAATATTTTCCAGTTACGCAAACTCAAAATATTCTAATATCTCCAGATGAAGCATATAGGAAATAACAAAAAGCATAATTCAGAGGGCAAGAGAAGTTGCTGTGTGGTCCTGGATAAAGAATAAAGTTCTCTCAAAATGATAGTTATGCAGGACTATGTAAAATATATTAGTTGAACCCATTTAAAAAGTCATTAATGATTTCAATGAAACAGTATCAAGTATATGTTGGGTTACACACATTTTTTTTTCATGTATATGTGTGTGTGTGTGTGTGTGTGTATGTATAAAAGACAAGGAAGAAGTAATCTAAAGTCAATGGAAAGTGGAAATATACTTTTTAAAGTTTCTAATACTAGGAGAAAATATCACACCACATCTTTTAAATAGATTGTAAGTCAAAGATAAAGTATAAACCTTAAAACAAAAATTGAGTAAGCAATATTCAGAAAATTAAATATTAATTAAAAAATTAAACATTTCAAAACAATTGAACTAAGAAAATTTTTCTTGATAGTAAAGAATTACTAAGAGTAAAACATAAGATAAATACTGAGGACTGGGGAGATAGCTCAGCAAAATAAGTGCTTCCCTGGCAAGTGCAAGGACCTGAGTTCAGTCCCTGGTTCCACCAAACAAACAAACAAACAAACAAACAACAACAACAACAACCACCACCAAAACAGAAAAAAAAGAGAAATACTGGAATGGCAAATAAATGACCAGCACTTCTAACAGTTTGGGAATAGGATATCGCACAAAGTTCTAGTATGTCCTGGACCAGGACAGTGTCAGTGATGCTTACTGGAGGCCTGGTGTCACTTATGGGACTGAGCTACTGCTATTTCCTAGATATCCACCCTGTAGACACAGATAGAATCCTGACCCATAGGGTGCAGGAGAAGACCATTTATAGAGTATGCTAATGGATATTTTGCTGCTTTATGTAAAAGAATAACTGAAAGACTGCTTTTGTATATCTTTTATTCTCTTGTGTTTGTTTGCCCTATTTGGTGCATCCTTTCCATACTAGTTCATGGAGTTGTGGTTATTTTTCTCCCTCTCTAGAACATCTTTTAGTAGTCTGTGTAGGGTTGGCTTTGTCATCATGAGATTCTTTAGTTGTTCTTTGTCATGGAAGTATTTCACTTCGCCATTAAACTTGAAAGGGAGTTTTGCAGGGTATAGTAGTCTGGGTTGGAATTTGTTTTCTTGCAAGACTTGTAGTGCTTTTCCCCATGCTCTTGACTTGATGGATTGTGAAGAGAAATCTGCCATTATTCTGATGGATTTTTCTTTAAATGTGATCTGTTTCTTTTCTTTAGTGGCTTTTAGTATAATATTGCTATGCTGAATTTCTGCGATCTTGATCATTGTATGTCTAGGTGTGTTTTTAATTGGATTGATGTTATTTGGAATTCTGTATGTTTCAGTTACCTGAATGTCAGATTGTTTCTCCATATTTGGGAAGTTTTCTGCTATTACTTCCATACATATTCTTTTTATATCATTTGTATTGACTCCTTCTTTCTCATTAATGCCTATTAGTCTTACATTGTTCATCTTTGCATCGTTTTGCAGATGTTGAATTATTTTTTCCTGCATCCTAGTTGTTTTTAAGAGCTCTTTTCTTACTCTTTCATTAGCTGCAATGGTTTCTTTAAGGTCTGAAAGTTTATTTTCACTTTCATTCAAATGGTTTGCCAGCTTGTGATTGAGGTTTTAATTTCCTCTATTTCACTTTGAATCTGCTTCATACATTCTATTTCTTTCTTATATTGCTTATTGAAGGATTCCGTCATTTTTCTATTCTTTTGCATTTTTTTAAATCAGTGTCTTCTTTAGAATCATTTAGTACTTCTCTCATTATAGTTTTTTTTTTAGCTACTGGGGATTGAACTCAGGCCCTTGCGCTTGCCAGGCAAGTGCTTATTCTACTTAGCTATCTCCCTGGCCCCCTCATTATAGTTATCATAGCTTTTTTTATTTCAGAAATTATTTCTGATCTGATTTCCTTTATATTTTTCTGCAGTTGTTTCTTCCAACGCTATTATTTCAGAGATTTCTGTGATTTCCAATTTCTTCTATGCTAGTGTCTCCTGCATTTGTTCTGGGTGGGCTTGGGGCCTAAGAATGCATTTTGCTTCTTCTCTTTGTCATTTTGTATAGCACTGTCTTTTGACCTTTGGTGTAGAGCTTAGATAGAGTTATTACCTTAGCACCAGGTCTGAATCTATTAAGTTCAAACTTGTCCAGGTGAGTGTGTCTTGGGTCTGGCTGCTGTGCTCCACTTCTTTCTGCTACAGCCCTTGGAGGTGAACCCTCTGTGCCACTCTGACAAGATGTTATGCTCCTGGATCAGCTGGGTGGATCGTGCCTCTAGCCTCTTTGCGGGGAGTTCTGCTGCAGGGTTCCACACAGGACCTTTATGCCGGACCTGGGTTCTGGGTCGAATCAGGAGCTGGCGGGCCTTGGTGTGTGTCACTCACACACCAGGTCTGGGCTCTGGATCCCCACTTGCTTGAGTTCTGTGTTTCTGTCCTTAAGCACAATGTGGGTTCACCTAAGTTACCCCACACCCCGTTGGCTTATATTTTGGACCTTTCCATCATGCTGGTCTTGCCTGTGTGTGTGCCTAGTTGGGGTCCAACTATTTGGCTGGTGTTGCCCTGGTCAAGTGGTCCCACTGATACAGATGTAGGGGCCAGTCACCTGCATTTCTCCATCAGGTCTCATTGCCAAATCCTGAATTTTTCCTGGGCTGGTTGCCTGGCTCCCTTGTGTAGGGGGAGGAGCTGGATGACAATTTTTATCAGCTTCTTGCCCAAAAGCTGCTTGCTAGTGAAGGTTATTTTTCTATTTCTTTCTTGTTTCTATTTTTCTTGTCATGCTTTCTAATAGATCTGTTTTGCCTTCTTTTTGATTTCTCATGTCTGAAAAAGGTAAATATTTCCACACTAACTTTTGTAAGATGATTAAATTGGGGAAGAATCAGAACCATGTTTTAGACTAGCTGGAATTTTTCTCATCTTGTGAAAAATATTTATTTAAATTTTGTTTTGTTAAGTCAAAGTGAGTGGGCAGTTAGTGAGCTTTACCCTTTATTCTATTATTGAGTATTTACTTTCCCTTTGGCAGTTACTTCTTGTTGGCAACAGAGCTTATGTAATGGATTCTATCATCTCTGTCACAACTGAGACTGATCTAGGCAAACTCCTGGTGGTGACCATGTGCCCTGCTCTTGCTTTGTAAAAAAGGAACTTAAATTATGTTTATGTTCTTTAGTTTCAAGCTGTGGACTGTGATGGCTCTTTCTGAGCTCTGCTCCCTTTCACTTCTTCAAACATGTAACTTGATAGTTACCTTTTTGGGCAGCTCTTCCATACATATTTGAAGTTTAAAGTTTTATCTCAACTTTATTTTCACAGGAAGTCAACTTAGTGCTTTTGTTCCTTTTTTTTAAAAAAAATATTTTGAATAGATTCTCAAAATAGTTTGAAGACCTTCTACAAGGTAATTACTTTGAGGGTTTATTAAAAATTTAGATTCTCATGGTCGCCTTTTCACAGGTCTGCTAAACCAGTGGCTCTTAGACTGTCTTCCAAGATGCAAAATTTGTAATCAACATCCATTACAGCCAGAGAAGTTAACAAATAAATAAGATTGGTATGACTTTTAAAATGTTCTTTTCTCCATTAAATGTTTTGCAAAAGTTTGCTTCTTAATACATTTCATAATTT